GTGCTGCTGGGTTGCTCCAGTAGAGCCAAGGAGCCGTGCTACTGGAGCAATAAGTATCTCCAGTAGAGCCAAGGAGCCGTGCTACTGGAGCAACCCAGCAGCACCCCAGCTGCTCTGCCCCAGGCGTCCCCAAGTCAGCTGACTACAGGAAGCCCGAGGCAGAGTTGCTCTGTCCCAGGCTTCCTGGAATCAGCCGCTGATCAGTTTCAGCAGCAGCTGACTTGGGGACGCCAGTTCCGACTTACATACAGATTCAACTTAAGAACAAACCTACAGTCCCTATCTTGTACGTAACCCGAGGACTGCCTGTAATCATGTAACCGCAATGTTTTGATGCGGTTATATGATTATTCAGTTAATGAATATCTAACATCCCAAGCACTAAAGCATTCCTACAGTGTTTAGTGTAAGTCAGCATTGCAGAACTGACCTGGAAACTTACCAGCCTAAATACAAAATCTGTTCTTCCATCTTTTCCAAGAGCAAAAGGATGGTGAGGTAAAATCTGATCTTCTGGTTGTCTATAAAACCATTACCCTGGACAAATAGACCTTTGCAGGCCTAATGTAAACCGCATGGCGTGGCGTTTCACATGCTCTGTTTTGTGTGTCTGATTTAAAAGTGCCACTGTAGTTTGAGTTCAATACATTCTAATTATCCCTACCTGCTTAAAGAAGGACCACTTGTGCACCAGCAATTTGCAGTATACTTGCACTGTGTGAAGATTTGAAGGTGGGGGAGGGTGGAGGATACTTTGCTGAGGCCATTAAACTGTTAGCTCAGTGTATATATCTGAACTATCGGTCCTCCTCCTCAGAGGAAACACTGCACAACACTTTCAAAAGATGAGCCTGGTGTGGTTTAAAGTAAAAGGTTCAGAAATGTGGCTAGTCCCAGGAAGGCACAGAAACAGGCAAACTATTACTAAATATCTTTTAAACTTTTATTAGAATACTTCCAATTATAGTTTTTCTTTATTAGTCTCTTACATGCGTGGCCGCCAAATAACTATTAGTAGGAGCAATAAGAAAAGTGCAGTACAGTAAATGAAAATTCCCTGAGCTTTTTCTAAGTCCCAATAGTTGTCAATAAGGGACCAGGGATTATCAACAGTTATGTTTACATTAATCTTACTCATAAGTCTAATTACTTATCTAAAACTCTTAACAATACTACTTAAGAAAACTTTTAACTAAGTTTAGATAGCAATACTCACACTTAGGAAAAAACACAAAGTACAACAGCAACAACAGCATAGTTGGTATACGTTACGATCTACAGGAACTCTGGTTTGGTGAGCGGGAGGTGGCCTTCGGGTGATCAGTCCTTGGGCCTGGCTCGTATTCTGCCATCCAATGTTTATTCGGGATTCCTCAATTTGATATAGGAGGGGTAGCTGTTTTATAGAGAGCTTTTG